TCGTGGGCAATGGTGCGGCGAGTGGGGCGAGTAGTACGTCGACAAGTCCGGCTGGGAGTGCGACGGTGGAGGAGGTGGAGGATGAGACGAGGAGGGGACTTCCTGGGAGTGGGGGTGGGAGTGTAAAGAGGAGGAGGAGATGATGGTGATGATGATGATATGGAGGGCATCTGAAAAGCTTCTTTTTTCTTCTTACCGAGTTGTTGCGGTAGTGATGGAGAGTGTTTGGAGAGGGAAAGGAAAGGAAGGAATCTGTGCTTGGCGAAATTTACGATTGGGGTATGTAACCGCGTGTTTGCGGTGTTTGGACAGTGTTCACATAAGTTCTGTTCTTCCCTTCCTTTTTTCTTTTCCTTTTTCAATGGAGTTGGTTTCTTTGTGTGGTTGTGGATGGCTGTAGTGTAAAGCCTCGAATTATAGATACCCCACTTCCAACGTTGAGCTCCACAGTGGCTCTCCAAAACTGTATGAGATCTATGGCCTTGGTTGCAATTGATAGATTTTTCGAATAGTGTTGCATATAGCTGGATATCCTAAAGCTAAATGTTTAGGAATACGCTTTTACCGCGACACAACACAGTGTAATACAACAGCATTGTGTCTGCGTCTTACTACTAGCACATCCACGGGTGTAATAGATACCTTACTCTTATACTCGTTGTTATTCCCTCATCATTGTCGTCTTACTACCTGACAAAGCCGCCAGAGCGCCATTTGGAGCAAAGCGCTCAGATGCATGCGCCCCTTCCCGAGCCTTGCATTTTGCTCATGTCTCTGTCTGGGGTATTGCTTAGTTGATCCAGCCAGGTCGAACATATTTGAGGCGTCCGCCGGCCGCTCCGATCTGGTGTTTGACGAGACCTTGGGAAAGCTGTCAAGGATGTACTTGTCGATTTGACCTATTTTGCATTCGCTACACCAAAGACAGCACTAGTCTGTACACCAAGCTCCCTAGACATGGGTTGATCAGCCTAGTATCAGGGTCTTTTAAAGTGAGTGGCTGATTCGCAATGAACTGCAGTGGCTGTACCAGTTCAAATTGAGGTTCTTGGACTGGGGTACGAAGATTCGCGGCTGCACTACCGACTTTTAGCTTGGAAATTAGTCTCTCATTGGACCCTCGTCTCCCTGTTTACACGCGGCTGAACGCCAAGTTGAGGCTCATTACTCCCTGTTCTAGATCATGAATGCGATAGCCTTAGAACAAAACGGCTAGACAAGTACAACGAGCATAGCAGTTTTGCTGTCGGTGCACAAATATTGACTTCGCTTCTTCAGCTGAACTTTGCCGTCTGGCTTGATTGTTCGTAGGTGCCAAATGCGCCACCAGTTTTGACTCGGACACGGAAAGGGATTACATATTCCTGGTCCCTCTACACTACTCCATGTGACCTCAGCAAAGCATTCTCTCGTTTTTTTTTTCAGCTATGCGTGGTCTATCTTTCTTTACCTTGGGGCTTGTCCTATGTGTCGAGGCAGCGACGATTTCCAAAGACGCCAGATGCGGAGCGCCTGGCAAAGGAACTTCTTGCTTGAACTCAAAGTGGGGAAGTTGTTGCAGCCAATACGGTTGGTGGTAAGTTATACTGGAGAAATGTATACATAGGACTATGTTGACCCCATTTCCAGCGGATCTACCAAAGATTACTGCGAAACTGGCTGCCAAATAGGCTTTGGGTCGTGCAAAAAGGCTCCTGTAAGCTCCATAAGGCCCATTGTTTCAACGACAACAGGCCCTGCACCTTCCGCCTCTCCTAAGCAGCCAGTATCCAAGAATGCTCGTTGCGGCGCTGGCTTTGGTGGGCAAACATGCCAGGGCAGTAAATGGGGCAATTGCTGCAGCCAATACTTTTATGTAAGACACCTTTCCCATTTGCTCATCACAAGCCGGGATCTCAGAAAGTTGACTTGCGCAGTGCGGCAGCAATCACGACTATTGCGGTCCTCAGTCGTGCCAGAAGGGTTATGGCGAATGCGATCCCGCGCCATCTTCATCCAGGTCCAGCTCCAGCTCGTCGACAATTATCCCCAGCTCTCTTGCTTCTACTACACCGTTGTCCAGTTTAAGCAGTAGCCCCATTGCCAGCAGCACCACTATATTGTCATCAGCTAGCAGTAGCTTGTCTACCAGCAGTCCTCACACTCCAACGTCCTCGTCCGTCGAAAGCTCCTCCACTATCGCCACTAGTACCGAGTTTTCCAGCAGTTCGCCGACCCCGACACCAAGTTCATCGGATCCGATCTCGTCATCCGTCATCAGTTCCGCAACTCCATCCTCGTCAGAGGTGGTTGGTAGCTCTGCGACATCGTCTTCATTGGAAGTCCTGAGCAGTCCCGAAACACCTACACCTACACCCACACCTTCGTCGTCAGAAGTCGTCAGCATCTCTGCAACACCTTTATCCACAGATCTCATCAGCAGCTCTCCAATGTCATTCTCGTCGGAAGTGGTTAGCAGCCTTGAAACGCCCACACCCTTGCCTACGCCTACACCCTCTTCATCGGATATAATTTCGACCACAGTTGTGTCATCTTCAGTAAAACCATCGGTCTCTACTTTCCCACCGGGAGTGAACATTCTGCTCAATCCATCATTTGAAGACATCGTTGGCTCGGGTCCTTCTGGTAGTATCAGTTCTTGGTCTAAAGGACAAGGAGGCCGCACGTACCCAAATCGACTACAAGCAGCTGCGCATGAAGGATCTGTATATGCCATCTTGAATTCCGCAACCTCGTTTACTCCTTCTAAGGCGAGTATATACCAGACTCTATATTCGTTCGACACCACGCGAGAGTACACGTTGACCTTTTGGTACGATTTCCACTCAATTACGAACTCTGCATCATGCTCATTGACGGTTTCTTTGGGAGGTGTCAACGTGTATACCAACACTATGACGATCGCGGATAACCCAGGACCGTACAAGTGGAAAGGGCCGATTACAACCACGCCATTGGTGCCGTCGGATAATGAACAAACGTTGCGTTTTGACTATGATTGTGCTCCATCCACTAATAACGGTGTAGCTTCGAGCTATATATTCCTGGATGATTTGAGCCTGGTGTCGAATTAAGACATCTCATTGACTGGTCGTATTCTTTAGACTACTCGTAATTAATGTAAATCACATCTTCATTGCCAAAGAGAATTTCGCACCACGTCGCAAAAGCATAAAAGTCCAGCCAATGCATATACGCGCGGAACACACAGATCGGGACAGCGTTGCCTAGTCTTTCCGAATCATTCTAGGATGTTATCTATCAGGCAGCGATATGAAGGTTTGCTGCTTGGGAAATGGCATGGAAGCGTTAGGAACAACTTCTGTAGTCGTGATGACGTTAAATATACGGGCTTCAGAAGACTGCTGGAGGACCTCGGGAGGCTGACGAGGTGTGGTAGGCTAAAATGCCCAGAGATTTAGGGCTGACGTATGATGGCCAGTGCTTCGTGCCTGTATCCTAGCGTTCGGCATCGTCATCCCCTGCACACACGACACTGTGAAGCTTGTTGTCAATCAGTAAGCATCGTACTGAAAAGACGTTCGACTGTGTCTGCTGCTACACCTATTGTGTATACGTACTCCGCCGATAAGCCTCGGAACATCTCCTTTATATCGGCCCTCTTCTAGCAGCGAGAGACGTCTCACAATCATCCCGTGCTTATAACATCAGTGCCGCGCATAGCGCACTGCCGTTGTCGCCTTCTGTTGATCTAATCTGAACCCAGCTCGCAATAAGCGAACCACAGGCCACAGCCGTCCAGTGATCACAAAGCTATGTGCGCCGCTGAGACATCACTTGGGTCATGGCAAGCTGTGCTGGAATGCCATTCGATAGCTAAGATATCTACCTGGATTCTAAGTGCGAAGCGTCGTTTGATGGCTTGATGCCCGCCGTCCTACTCCCTGCTTCCACGCGGGTGCCCATAGCTAGGTAGGCCCAATTTGATTTAGACCACCAATGGGACTTCTTCCCGCCGTTGTATCGCACCGTTTGACTAAGCAAGACAGCTCCTCTCGAATTCTCCGCTAGGCGCATCAGAGAAAAGGCGGTCGTTATGCTTCACATCATGCAGGGGTCACCTCCCACTAGTCCCGAACTCGAGACGATGCCTACAGAACATGCTTGCCTCCAATGCTTCCGCAGGCTGTTAACATGGTTACCTTTCTCTGACACCTTCTGCTTGACTTCTCACGTATCTATGCATTCCTGATTCTGTCAAACGCACCTTGCACGAACTCGCCTCAAGACAATACTTTTATCGGTCCGGGCTCAGCCCCCACAGCATGTGTATTCGCGTAGTCGAGAAGTTTCCCGTCTGCGGCTGTGTCTATCATACTCATTCAGTGGATCGATGCGCCTACTATGGACGACATCCGGTTATTGAGAAGGTCATCTGGGTCGGCGCATCGTGTCAAGATCACAAGAATGGCTAATGCGCATACGAGCAGAAGATCATTTACGTCCAACGTTTTGACTCTGACTGCTGATCAGCATCGCCAAAAATACAATGAGTACCCGCGAAACTGATAGACGAAGCCTATGCCAGTACTTCAAGCTAGAGCATCGACCATTTAGTTAACAGCAATCGAACACGGAAGAAGGGTCGACAGTACTGACGCAATGCTACCCGTACGTTTATGGTCTTGTATGAAGTACACGATACTAACAAACTGGTACAGATGACGGTTCGATGCAGCACGGATATCCAACCCATTGTCCATGCTGGCCTATGCTGGACACGACAATCGATTCCCGACCGGCAGCTGAACCTGAGTGGTCGGTGAATAACGAGACCCTGGTTCAACTTACGAAAGGCCAGAACTTAGCACTGTTAGAGCCCCAACGACGTATGCGCAACGTTCCTTGATACAGCTGCTACACCAATCTCCAAAGATCTACCGCTCCAATCAACACAGCGAAGAACTTAGACGTAAAACCTGGTGTGGAATGTGTTCCAGAGCTGCTGCGTTGTAGAGGCGACATGAGTCATTCTCTCACTACTGGACAATGTTCTGACGTTTGGGATATCGCACCTCGTAGCGAGACGGACTTGTGACAACAACTTCCTCTTGTATCCTAAGTTCTTTGGTTCTCCCGACACGAGCCGAATCGCCGTCTACGGACCCACTGCGTACCGATGCCTGGCTCTTTCGTCCACTGTTGTGGTATGTCTGAACACTTTTCATGATTCGATAAGCAGCGGCACGATCCTGGGCACCGGGAGGATGAGGATGCTTTGGAACGTTTCCAATATCCACCATGTCCGGTTTCTCCGGCACGGATTGCGGTGAGGCAACTTCATCCTTCAATTTCGCGGGACGGTCGCTGTATTCAGAGGAAGATTTCCGAGTAGCGGCGCGGCGCGGCCCCGCCTGGTTGACAAATGGGAAACACTCTCTGGTGGCCAAGTTCGCCGTCGCAATGCTGGTACGAGAAGAATCAAAGAAAGGCTCCGCAATCGAATCGAGGGCGTTCAGGGCCTGGTCCAGCTCCTGATCAAGCGGGCACAACTCCGCGGCCGATATTCTCTCTCGCGACTCTCTATACTCCAGCGCCTCCCTCCTTCTCTCCGATACCTCCCTTTCTCTTTGCCCCGCCAGCGCCAGCCTCCGCTTCGCGTTCCCAAAACGATGGCGACTTGGGAATATACTCAGTGTTGAGATCGAACCTTGCACGCCACGCTTCGTAGCCTCGAGGCGCTCAAGGTTTCGTCTCAGCTCGTGCTGTTCCAAGATCAAGGACTGTAATGCGTCGACGTCAGCTTGGTAGCGAGGCCCGTCAGGTATGCTTCCGGACGCCCCCACGCTATGACAATGCGGACACTCGAGTGCATGCGCAGTTTCTGGTACCGACTTTAGGATACATACTTCCTTTAGCGCCCCCTGAAGTAGCTCTCTATTCTTGCGGTACTGCTCAGCTCGAGCTTTGAGTGATTCATCCTTGAGTTCGAGACCTGGGGTTGTACTGGCCGTTTTAATCACCTGAAGACTGTGGTATTTTGGTCGGTACTCATAAATCCAGACGGCGAACGGGTCTGGTCGTAACGGAGGGGTGAAATTACTCGGTGAGGGCAACATGTTGCTCAATCGTTCATGCAGCGGTAACTTCAGATTCTCATACACGGGACAGGTGGGTAGACTTGGTTCGGCATCAGGATCATCGATACACCTCGCGCGCCGATCGGCTTCTTCGTTCAAGTCCTTGGTTCGACCAATCGATTCGTGGAAGACATTGGATACTTCGTACTTGGGGTAGCCGGAGAGGAAGACCTGCAGAACATCCTCTCGACTAGGCTTCTGATCGGAGAATTCGGCCGGCTCGCTGCGTTCGCCTTTGGGTGGTACCGCCGACCTAGAGAAATAAGGATTGATGCGAGCGAACCTTGGATCTATAGACGCTTGTCAGTATCTGACCATGAGCTTTGGAGGTTGGGCAGTAAAACAGCGTGCGGCACGGACTTACCATCCTCGTTAGCGGCCAAAACCGAGTCGGCCACTTCGTTCAACTCAGCACACGCACCCTCCCAGTACAACCTCGAATCCTCCTCCCACTGCACATCAGATAAGTCAAGGACCGAGGGTGCATCGGACACGAAAGAAAACCTAGAGTCTAGAATTGTCGAATGGCCCTCGCCGCTACTCAATGCACCAACAGGAAACGCAGTCATGTCATTCTCACCTCCGATCTGGAAGTGGGATAGCGATCGCAGACGGGGTTTTCTTTCGTCCTCATCTTCCATCTCCCACCATTCTTCTTCTTCGTCATCATCTGCTATGGCGAGATCATTATCCCTTCCTCGAATGGCCTCCTCCTCCAATTTGCTTAATATTATCCCGCTTCGTCTTGCACTGGGTCCAGATGATACCCGGTTCTGCTGTGGGCAATCCGGCTCCAGCGCCCTATCGTCCGACAATTCCGAAAATTCATCTGTCGCAGGAACGTAAAAGTCTGCAAACGAAGATACCTGGGAAGAAACAGATGACGACCCTTTGTCATTCTCTCCCTCCAGGGTCGGTTGGTTGGGCTTGGTGGTAGGTCGTGCGGAGAGGGACGCATGACGAGCGGTACGTGGCTTCTTTGACTCGTCTAGCTTGTTGACGGGGTCAGACAGCGATACATGGGACTGCTGGGTTGCATCTTTATAAAAACTATCAGGTGGCTGTGAAGCAGAGGATAGTTCTGCAGCTTCATCGAGGGGCGGTGATTGCGATTCTAGGTTGGCGACTATGGTTCCTGCGGTGGCTCTTGCGGCTGCTTCTGCGGTACGTGCTTCGTACGCGGCGATGCGTGCAGATGTCAGCTCCGAGCTTCTCCCTGAGCGAGGCGGAGGAGTAGGAGTGGCCGCTGGCGAAGGCAAAGATTTGATATCCTTTGCTGAGCGAGGTGGTGGTGCACTATAAGCGGAAGAGAAGGGGTTTTTCGGAGGCAATCCAGAAGGTACATGTTCCTTCTTCTGGCTTGAGCTTGGGCTAGAGGAGGAGAGGAAAGGTGGTGGAGAGGATGCTAGGGAGTCGTCGTTATCGTTGGGGCTGGAAGAGAAGTCATGTTTCAGGATGGGTGAAGTATTGAGGTCGTCTTCATCGGAGGACCAAGAGGCAGATATGGGCTCGTTGTCTGGTGAATTTTGGGGCAGAGAGGAAGCTGTAGATGCTGGTGCTTCCTCACCTAGAGTGAATTTGTTGTCAGGGTGATTATACATGTTGTTGGTAAGCTGTACGTCCGCTGTAACGGAGGGGAAGGGTTGTATCCCGTCGTATTGTGTTTAACAGAAGCTTAGTCTCCGTATCGTGGACAAAAGGAAAGGTGGTTTGTCACTGATGGAACATGAGAGAGGTGGCATCTTCAAGAAGACCCTTTGATTACATCTTTTCTCATTTATGACACGATGAACGACTGGACTCAGTCTCAGGGTCATATGGTGATGTGATCGGGCATACAAATGATCTGGATCAGGGTCCTCACGACAAGGCTATGAGATCACATTCATAAGCTATAGGAAATCTGTCTTATGCTATACAAAACTTACTGCGCACTAAATGTCGACATTATGACCGACGATGCTGAAATATTAGTTGTCGGTAACGGATGGTATTCGGGCTAGTATGGAAGTTCAAAGAGGAAGATACTTCTACTTTTAGGGAAAATGTGGAGTGAGCAGATGCAGCGGCTGTACATGAGTTCCTCCGGTCCCCTACTACATATCATTTGCCTCCAAGGCTGACCAGTTGATACCGCCAAATTTGAAGTTCTGGGCCAGGGTCCACACGGCGGAAAAATGAAGTCACAAATCTCAGCAATTGATCTACCAGCGTGGACGACTTTTGCTATTCGACTTTCAGCTACGGCTTATCTATCTTGATTGAAATCTGCGCTTGGCACGCTCTCAGTCTCCGAAATGTATTGCTCCATACCCTTGTATCTCCACCGCCTGAAGTACGCCTTTGGCGTGGTGGCTGGGCAATCCAGCCCAGATCCAGCTCCGTTGCAGGTAGCGTAGACACCAATCAGCGTGCCAACAAAAGAACCCGATGGACTCAGCTGTGCTGTTGAAGCTCTACCAAATGAAATTTGTTTTGACTTGCCGCTCGCTAACATCGCTGAGAACAGGTACGTCCTTGGATCTGGCATTGTGATGCGGAGCCGCATAGGCTTTCCGTGCCAAGACGCAGGTACAAGCGTTTTCTTTTCCACCTCTTCCGTAGAGTTGTAACGCAGATAAGTCGTGCCATTGTTGCGCACTAGTCCGAGCTGAATGTTTGCCGTTTGCCACAGGAAAGCAGTGATTCCAGCTTCCTGGCCATCGGATTTGGGGTCGAACGACATATCCACGCTGAAGTCGAATGTGCTGTCGGTCTGGCGGCGTCCAATGAAGTTTACAGCCCTCGAGGCCGGATCAGACACGTTGAACGAGCCGGCGAGATTATTGCGACCGAGCATGACTTGCAGGCCTTTGTGCGTGGTCTTGAAAGCACCGCCCCAGGGAACACGCCAATATACTAGGTTTCGTGGTATCACTGAGCCCTGAGGAAAGTCGTATACATCTGGGTCTGAATTGAATGGCCCATCACCTGGGATATCTCTTGAGCGAGCAGGTAATTGCCAGCCCTCCATCTTGCCTCGTACAGGCTGAAACACTGGCCATTCGCCAGACTCCCATGTCACAGGCGTGAGCACAGTTTCGCGACCCATGGGGAAGGAAGTGCCTTTAGGACCCACGCGCGTCGCGAGCGCGACAGACCACCATTTCCCGTTGTTATCTTGGAAAAGATCTGCATGGCCGACGGTCTGGAAGTACTCTGATGTGCCGCGATTCGTGAGATGAGGGTTGAACGGGCTGGACTGGTAGGGTCCAGTTATGTTCTTTGCGCGAGCCATGGTGACAGAGTGGTCTTCAGCTGTTCCACCTTCGGCGATCAGGAGGTAGTACCATCCGTCTTTTTTGTAGATGTGCGGACCCTCTGGCCAAACACCACCCGTTCCGTTCCAGAGCTGCGAAATAGGTCCCATTTCCCCAGTATCAATATTCATCTCCTGTAGGATGATGCCCTGAGTCGCAACATACACCTTGCCGTCATCATCCCAGAATAGATCGGGATCGATCTTACCAGCCTCGAATCTGACTGGATCGCTCCAGGATTCATCATCAAATGGATTCGTAGTCTTGAACAGCACACCTGCCAAGTCACCAGATCCCAGATATTCGCAGATCACGTAGAAAACACCCTGGTGATGTCGGATGGTTGCCGCGTACATGCCCTCCTGCTGGCCTTTGGTGGCATAACTGTAGCCCGGAAGCTGAGATTCACGGTTCCATGCGTGGCTGATATGTTTCCAATCTACCAAATCCTTTGATGCGTAGATGGGTAGTCCAGGAAACGAGATGAAAGTAGAGGTTACGCAGAAGAACGTCTCGTTGACATTGACGCACGATGGGTCGCTGTGCCAGCCTGGAAGTACTGGGTTGAGGAACGTCGAATTTCGCGCGAGCGTCGCTGTCGAACACGCAAGGATAGCTGTCGTGACCCTCGTTAAGAACCGCATCTTGGAGGATCTTGGAAAACCTTGACAGAGCTTACCCTGCATCCGGCGATGCACAAAGCTTTATGCATACCAGCGACCAGCAGGTGCAGGTGGTTCCTAGGTGCTACCAGCCTGTTGGGAAGAAGCACGACCGACGAATCTCTTGCATACCGGTTGTACTCATTTAGCCAGAGTAATCCCGCGGTGCTATTGGTGTTAAGCATGCAGCATTTTCTAGCTAGTATGCGGGGGAACAAGATGAGCTGCAGAACCACCGGGCTTAATGAGCCTCAAGATCCGGGGATTGAGGGGAAACTAATTTTGATCGACGCAATTTCACGCATTGACGTCATAATTTCTCCGTGCCTCATAACCCTACATTTTGTGAGGCTTGCTAAGAAATTCTATCATATGCTTCTCGAAAGCCGGGTATGTCACTGAATCTCAGCGTTTTGTCTTTGAATAGCACGCGCTCTTAGTAAGATAGACGCCATCGCTGTACATAGCGAGCGCGCTACGGAATCTTTCACTATATCCAGCCTCAAGCAAAGTGTCATAACCTTTCATTCGCAATGCTATACAGGATGTCCACTCGACTCAAATAGTACACATTCTACCTTTCCCTGATGGCAATGTGATACGCGTCTCTACGGTGTTCTTACATAGAGTTGTTCCTCCGGGTATCATACGGCGGCATATGATGCGCACCGAAACGAGAAATGACCCTTCAAAGCAATCCTACCGCACGTGATGTGGTAAAATCTGAACTCGAAACCCCGTATGTGCTGAGTACAGTGCATAATAAGAGATCGCGACCGACCCTTGGCGGCGATGCGATATGGCGAGGACGGCTCAAAACGTGGTTCCTGTGAAGATTAGTGTGTACACCAAAGGATGATTTTGTTGCGACTTACAGATCAGGGTAGACCTAATGAGTATGGTACGACTTATACTGACTTGAAGAGACTCAAACTTGGTTGCTTCCATGATCATTGAGATCGAATCTTGGTACCACATGTGTCAATGTTGTGGAATTGGTGAATGGCTTGGCATCGTTTGGTCATCGCAAACCAGAGGGTGGCTACGGCGTTGATGACGCTTATAACTACCCGCTCAGCCAGGCATAGCCAAGTATGCTTGTACTGTCGGGATGAAGCAGTCGACATCCTCAATCTGCTTCAGCATGTCGTGACCAGCCTGAATGTAGAGGGTCTCTTGCTGTTGACCAGTTAAGGGTGTACCGATGTGCTGTTCGCCAAGGTTGTTCAGCATGAGAGCCTCCAACTTCAGCGCAAGATCGTCAATCTGAGCCAATTGGAGAATGGCTTGGCCTCCATTCCACGTGTCGCTGGCGTCGGTGTTCATCTTGTTGATCGCGTGCTTGAGAGCAGTCATGAATTGGTCTTTCACATCCTGGACTGGCGGTGGAGGAGATGCGTGTCGAGCAGCAGGAGCTACACTGCTTGCGCCAGAGATGCAGAACGGGCCAGCAACCTTAGCTTTCGCCGATGCAAAGAATCTCTTGATACTTCTGTGAAAGTCTTTCGCTTTATTCACAAAACATTCGAGTTTGCTGCAGTCTTGAAGCTCGTGCTCAGACTGTGTGTCGTACTCGCGTTCGATCTCTGCAGGGGTTAGTGGACGATGCAGGCCTTGCATATGGTCCGAAATGTGTTGGAGAACAGCGAGCTCCTGTTACTTGACCATGAGTAACATCTCAGATGGTAGCAAGCGTTCTTTGAATTTCGCTGCCGCTTCGTGGTTCTTGCGCTTCATGGTCCAAAACAAGCGATGCATGAAGTCCACGCGTTTTTTTGTGAGGAAAACCATTCAGCGAAGGTGGGGCGCTCAGAGGCTGATTGATGTTAAGCTCTTCTTGGGTGAGCGGCGCATCTATCGAGTTGACCTGAACTGGGATGGAGGTTTCCTCGGCGTTGTCCATCTCCTCATCCCTGACTCTCGCTAAGAACCTCTGCTCCTCTCCCAAAGCTATATGCTCGGCTTGAACACCGAGCTTGTATTTTTGGTCAAGCCAGTCTTTGTTGGGTGGATTAGGCAGTGACATAACTTCTGAGTGTATATTGTGCAGGACGTTGCTTTCAATATCATGCGTCAGCTTGTTGAGTGCGTTATTGTCAAGCAGAAGCCCATATTTTGGAGAAACTTGGCGCTGCATCTTGTCCAATTGGTCATGTAGGTAGACAAGACCTTGTTGACGGAGTTCGTAAGACAGTTCGCCGAGATACTGGTGATCGCTTTGTTTCGGTGCTAGGTGGTTATCACCGAGCTGAGCAAACTGCTGGAATGAGACATCAGGACTAGGTGCTGATGGAAGTTCGGATGAAGATTCGTTGGCTGGCGACTCGGAATTGTATTGGATTCCTGAAGCACCATCCAGATCGATGTCCATCGTGTCCGATGCAGATACACCAGAGGTGATGGTGATGGAGCCATTCTGCAAAGCCGAACTTGTATTCCGAGTAGAGATCTTGATCGAAAACAGAAGGGCATTCGAAGCAGAACAAACATCTTCTTAAACAACGGCAATGACAGCAGGTGAAGGTACACCCGTTCCATTGCTGACGTTGGAGACGAAGGGTTCGATCAGAACGAAGAAGCCTTGCTTGTCTTTCATGGTATCAAGCTCGGCCACCACAATAACGGTCAGTCTCCTGTGCTCGTCGTCCGTAGTTGTGGTATCAGTGACGTAGAAATCGATGGATTTGGTCAAAGCACCTTCGAGTAGGTCCAAAGGGTCCGAAGCGTTCTGAGTGAAGATCTTCTCCCGGCGACAGATGCTGTCCAAGGAAAGCCCGATCTTTTTCATACCAATCTTGCGGGCCTTCTGAGAAATAGTAGACCCATAGACATAGGGGAGTGTCTGCCGCCCCAATTTGGCACCAAGGTAGGCACCGGATGGTCTGATAAGCGCCGCCTTGATATTTTTGAGGTCACTATCCGCCGTCGATGATGAAGGCTGTGAAGTGTCAGTCGCGAAGACCGCGACTTGGACAAGGTACTAACCATAGACGCACTATGTGTTGCGCTAGCTGTGGACATCGCAACAGTGTTCAAAGCCTTATATTTGTCAGGACTTGTTCATCTTGCGACGTCGTGCATGCACTTACAAGACTGTAATAGCGTAGTCTGAGAATGGAGGAGATGACTGTGTCTTGTGTATGCGTCTGTAGGAGTGACGAACAGTGTCGATAGGAGCAGTATGCTTGGTGAACAATATGGGGCTACAGCGAGTGGATGGGTTTATCTTCAATAACCAACAAGTTGGGTAGGCTGATTATGAGAGACGCATCTGTAGAGCGCGTGTTGAGCTAAAGCGTTGGTAGGCGATGATAGTCCGAGAGGCCAGCATCGGCGCAGGAAATAGCAAAGAGGAGGCGCCAAGTACAGAGTCATAGCGCAGCGCGCGCCAGGCGCCATCATCTGAGGCTCTTGTGGTAGTGAAATGGAGAGAGTTCTAAGAACCGAGGTTACGGTCGGTGGGCCAGTGAAAGTGGGGAGAGGGCGTCCCCGAACTCATCGACCAGGCAGCTATACACGGACGCTTGAGTGCGGGCGGAAATTTTACATATATAGTCAGAGCTCGGGCAGATGATAGGTCAGCAATTTGGCGCGGTATTTAACCAAAGTTCAGAGAGGCGTTTGCTCGAAGTCATTGTTGTTAGAACACTACTGTATAATATTTATCAGACCCAATTATGAACTCGTCGATCCCCAAATGTTCTTTGCAAGTTCATGAACTGATCTGGGATCAAGATAGGACGTGACACATGGTTTTTCATGAAAGGTCAAATGTATCGGAAATCATAAGGTTCCAGGCTTGCAGTGACCTGCTACTTTGCCTACTTCCTCCAGAGAATGGGTAAAAAGTCTTCAGAAGATTGATGGTAGCGACGACCGAGCGAGAAGACGCTTTCCCATTGTACGACTCGTTAAATGCTCTGGTTGGTCATCATCTTACTGGCCCTGCCAATACCGTTCCCCGTCTTTGAATTTGAGCTGTTGGAGTTCTAGTTCTGACTCTTGACTCAATCGGTTCAGCAGCAAAAGATTGGTGTACTATTCGAATTGCATCGACCGCATGCTTCTCCTCATCCTTTGCAAGCACTCTTGCCCTCCGACGACGAAACCAGGACTGCTTTCCAGCACCGTTCGGATCTGATTTTACAATTGAGTTGGAGGAAGAAGCAGCCAGGGTGCTATCTTTTTGGCCATCGACTTCATGTTTGTTATGCGTTCGTAACCAGAGGAACCAAACTGAGACCACCACGACTGTCAGAGGTGCAGTTACAGCCCAGTATATCCAGAAGCGGTACGAGACTACAGAAGCCCCTTTTAGAGCTTGCCAGTCGAACATATCCATGGAGAAGAAAGATGACACAAATGTGCCAGGAAGGAATATGATACTCATTATTGCAATAGTGCGCATAGCGTAACTATCTTCCTTGGTAGTGTTCGCGATTATAGTTTGTATCCTCGCTAGTTCGGTCTGTAACTCAGCCATAGCCAGACTGTCTTTGTTGTCGCGCTGCGCGATGAGATTGTAGACTATCTGTAGCTGACTTTGCGCAATTTTCTGGTTGCACGAGATCTCAAGTAACAAGGCACGCTGTTCCGTCTGTAGATGATTGAGCCTGTTCTCCAAAGACTTTATTACCGGGGTCAATTCTGAAGTCCAACCAGAGCGCGGTTTCCCGGTGCCGAAATGGCCCAGTATCTGGTCGACGAAAACGGCGTTAGCGTGGATACGCATTTCGTGAAATGCGAATCGAGAGATAATGATGTTTAAACTCCTTGTCATATCTTCGAAATCCTTCTCTGGCGTTTTCCCAAGCTGACTAGGACCATCGGACGACAGCGGATAACCATGGAAGTTCGTACGTAATTCTACTTGATAGAGATCCGAAGCGTGCGTTTTGACTCCAATTGAGTCACTCTCGATCAGCATCTCGCATAGAATGATTGGAACGTTCATCTCATGTGCTGAATCTGCCAAATGATCTCCGAGATGCATTGCCAGTCGAGACTTTTCGGTTCCCTGTGGACCGAGAATGATCCCTCGCAAACTAAGTCTTCCTTTATACCAGGACCAGGAAAAAGCAAGTGTCCAGTTTTCTGAACCAGAGACTGGTGTTCGAAGCACAAAGCCCTTGTGCTCGCTCGCTGTGTAAAATACCGATTTTGGTGTGCCCGTCAGAAGTGCTTGGTAAATTCCTGTTGGTATTGCTAACCCTTCCATTATCTTCACAAACACTTCCCGTTCAATTGGTATTGTGTTGGATGATTTCGACGCTTCGCATAGTACGATTTCCAGATCTTTGAAGTTTAGTGTTAGATCTGACGTCGGAAAAAGGATACTTTGTGGGTTGGCGGCCTCCAGGAGTGTTTCGTCGAACTCTGCTATTGGAATATTGCCATTGAAATTCTTATTATGAGCTGCGCTCAGGCGAATCTGGTATGTAATTGCACTCTCGAAAAAAATCTTGCTGAAATAGCGCTTTTGCGTGCAATCCAATTTCTCGACGTAGCCTTCAATTATCCGTTTATCCGTGACCATCTCGTCCTCAGGTACCATGGTTCCATGTTGCTTATCCACGTTCTGTGGCTGTCTGTCAGGGTTTCTTTCTCAATCGTAAGCAAAAATCGTTGTGTAGGATGCACCTGTGACCGGCTTACAAGACATGGTCATCCCCAAGATGCGCAGATATAACCTTTTCCCTTTCGTATTCGAATACTACTCTATCTTGTAGCAAACTTTTTTGGCGATCCAGCTTCTCGATGATCTCTCGAAGAGATGATTCATCCTGACTGCGTATGATCCTTCTGATTGGCTTTTTTGACTCTGCTAAATAGCCTTGCTGACAGGTTTTCAGGAATTTTTGCAGAATCTCCGATAGTTTCAGAAGTACAGGTTGCATGGAGTCTATCGCTTGAGACGAGAACATGGCTCGATCGGCCCGCATGATATAATGCGCCAGGACATCTAACACATTTCGCAGACCATCGATTTGAGAGCGGATTTCAGAGAGCGCTGTTGAAGGTTCTTCTGAAGTGTCCAGAAGGGCTTGTACCTCGCCAGCAATTTGAGCAGTGGTTATGAGACTGGCTGTGATACTTAAAGGGTCCATGTCGGAATCGTGGGTGAGGCGGGTCTGCTGGTAAGAACAACAGGAGCTTTACATATGTATCACTGTAAATTTCATGTGAGGACTCCGAGTACCATAATACCTACTGTTACGGGATGGAACAGCTGCGCATTCGAAATCGAGGTGGACCTCCTGGAAGGCTGAGACTCACGATGCGTGCGACTGAAAGAATTTATGGGATGCCAGCAATCAGACGGAAGATATTTTGAGCAGACCGTGACCGTAGAAAATCTGAGATGAGGGAAATGGGGAGTAAGAAGGATGATTCTGCCTAGGTAAGCGCTGTCGTTGCCCCGCAGCACCTCTTGGTGTGGGTGGCGCACATCCTTCAGCCTGTGATTTGCTACACAGTATATCCGGAGCAGGCCTGCGATAAGATCTCAACTCGCTGCATTATGAAGTGTCTTTAGTGATGTCAGTTGCTCACCAAAACTCAGCGATACGACAAACAACCTGTGCAACGCAGGATGGATTATTGCTTTGTTACTGAAGCCAGGTGATTGAGGATACACTTCTACCGTGAAAAAATGTAGTATAACTCAATAGCGTTGTGCCTGCGTCTTGTCACCAGCACGTCCATCAAATTAACAGAGCATGGCGCTTCCTATAAGCAGGTGTAGTGCACCTTTTTCTCCTAGAAAAAAGCATACATATCGAGATACAGGCAACCTAGGTACAGAGTACTGGGCGATACAACCTCATGTCTTGTTACATTGAGAGTAGTGCCTACGAATTCTTTGTAAAGATATTAACTTTCAGATTACCTCCACACTGTTCTTTAGGGTTACCTCCACACGCGGTCATGTAGCCTGCCGAAGAAACTCGAGCAGGATTACTATTCATAGTGTTCCCACAAAAGCACTCTTTACCAATCTCGGTACCATGATAGCGATGACCTTGACAGATCCTGGAGCATTTCGAAGATGTCATGCTACTATCGAGCACATAGACATCAGATAACACTCGTTTGTTGATAACATCCTGGTATCAACCATGCCACGCAAAAGGTTTGCTCATCCATTCTTCTACGATCGCAGTTTGGTTGTTGCGAGCTGCTTCGAGCGCTTGTTGAGCGGTTTTCAACTGAGCCTCTAGTTCGTTCTGACGGGTGGTATGTGCTTGTTCCTGCGCATCGCATTGAGACTGCAAGGTTGCCATACCGACCGAATGAGCCTGTTTTTCGTTGTCGAGGTCAGCCGTCATTTGGTCGATCAGTGTCGATTGCGCAGTCAGCGAATGTTTGTAATCTTGCTCGCGCTGCAGACATTCATCCCTGTCTGCATTGTGAGTATCGGAACCAGCGAGAAAGCCGCTCGTGGGGACCGCAGATAGAGTTCGGTTGAAGAAAAGGCCGTTGGAACAAGCGCAGGCACAGTTGCAATTCGGCTATGCTGAATTGTCGGTACATTCAAAAGACGGCTTCACACCTAGCATTCGGTTACCTTTTCAGCGTGGTTTTCGAAGCAGGTGGACTGACCATTCTTGCACTTGTATGAGTTTCCGAGAAGATCCAGTGAGCCAAGAATTTGCTGGGTGCCTTGGGAGTAACTGGTCGTGCAAAAAGCGAAGACGAACAAGAGCCAAGACGTCCTCATCGTCAAGAAATATAAGTCGAATGTAGGGATATTATGTAATGAATGGGATGATTCCTCTGGTGCCTTGCATGGCTGCGTCTTTATACCTATAAAGCCAAGACGCATACACAAAACAAGACATAAATAGTAACGTTGACTAAAGTCTATAGATGAACAACAATCTCCCCATCTAAAGCCCGTCAGCGCCGCCCTCCCTTCTCCCCTCCTCCTCCCTCAAATCCTCTCTACTCCCCTGTCCCCTAATCCCCCTCCAAAGCCCACTCAACGTACTAAGCGCACTCAAGCTCCTCCCTCTACCTACTCTCCTCCCACCAACAGGCGTCCTACTCCCCTCCTCCCCACCAGCAGCACTATCCCTCGTCCTCCGTCTACTCAACGGCTCACCACCCAACCCCATTCCCATTCCGGCTCCATCCTCCCCACCATCTCCTCTCTCCACATTCCTAATACCACCAGCGCCCAAAGCAAGCAAACTCTCCCGCCTCCTGACCGAATTCCCCCGTTTAAGATCCTGCACCATAGTACTCAAACTCGTACTCAGCGGACTCGCCAGCAAAGGACCCCCCACAATACTATTCCTTGCACTCTGCACACGATCGCCCGTGCGCAACCTGCGTAGTCCAGAGCCAGGCGTAGTCGGGACTTCGTTTTGGCTCTTGCCCCGCGTTGGCGTGCGGGGTGGTGGTGGTGCGGGGAGATCAGTATCTGAGACGGAGACGAGGGGTGCGGTTGGGGGTGCGGCTTCGGATGGGAGGACGGGCGTGGACGTGTGTCTGTTCAAGGGTGGGGCGCGGTAGGTGGGTTCGTTGGGGGCGGACCAGGGGTTTGCGACGAGGGAAGAGATGATGTCTGCGGTTGCGGGGCGGGAAGAGGGGTTTGGTGGTGTGACGGGGTCGGTGGGGGTGAGTGTGATGTTTGGGGTTGAGGGGCGAGTGTCTTGGTCGTCTTGGTAAGCACGTGACGTGTCGATGGGTGGGGATAGTGCTCGTGTTGTTGAAGGACGGCGCGAGACTTGTTCGCTTGGTTCGGATGTACCGTCGGCGTAGACCTCGCCGGCTAGGTGAATCGCATCTTCTGGCTCTGGGTCGTGGTCTTCGTCGTCGTCGTCGTCATCGTGGTGGGATGGGCGGCCGCTGGTGATAAGCCAGACGCCGAAGAAGGTTAGAGCGCATCCGCCAACGAACTTTCCAGCGTCTTCTCCCGAGGTGCGCTCGAAGTCGCGGTAGAGGACTGCTGATCCGCCGATGACGGAGAGGGTGAAGAGGACGAATTGGACGGGGATGACTTGTGTGGCGTCGAAGCGCTGGAGAGCGCGATTGACGTATTTGATCTGCATGACGGCTGTGCCGACGAGGATGGCAACTAGCAGATAGAAGACTGGAAACGTGATGGCACGCCAGAGCGTGTATGAGAGAAGTGAGGCAACGCCCTTGGTTGACAAAGCTGTATATCCGCCTAGACATAGGTTAGCAGTTGGTTACAAAACACATTGACTTGAACATACCAAAAAGTCCCACAAGTCCCAGATCAATCAAGATATTCTTCTCCCCATAGCGGTTACTAGCAACCATCAACACAGCAATAACGCCCACCGTAATTCCCAAATACGTCTCAAACTCCCATCGTCTTATCAGATCCCAAATCTCACCAGGGCCGAGTTTAGGATTATTATCATTCGCCGACAGCACGACCGTAACCGCGCCTCCAACAGCGATAATAACACCCAGCGCATCCCTCTTGCGAAAAGGCTCTTTCAGCATAAAAGGCGCAATGATGCAGTTCGAAATGAGCGCGACGACACCCAGGGGAGAGACAATAGACGCGGGCGCGAATCCATACGCCAGGAAATTCCCCGCTTCGCCAACAGTCATGAGGATAATGCCGAACCACCAATACGGCGATTTGAGATACGACGTCTGCTTGAAAGCTTGTTCCTGCTTGCCCGACTCAGCGCTATCCTCTCTTTGCACGCTCGGCCTCGGAATCAACGGATCGTTCTCAGATGCCTCAAAGGTATCCTCTTGATCTCCATTCTGTCCATTACTTCTTCTTCTCCTCCTTGACTCGACCATATCCTCGCTGCCATTCTGCCTCCGTGCTAACCCCATCTTCTGCACCTCCTCTGCCAACCTCCCCGCCCCACCATCACTGCCCATCACCTCGGCTTCCCTCTTCCTCCTCTTCCTCTCCCGTTGTCTCTCCTGGAACTCCCTGTCTAGCCGGATGTGCGCGTATCGTTGCATATTCAGCGCAAACGATATAAGCACATTGCCTATTATCGCGGTAATGATGCCAATCAGACTGCTCCAGTTTTCTGTATAACTACCGCCTCCGCCTCCCCCGTGCTCTTTCGATATCCAGGATAAGGCATTGTATGGTGTTGGTAGTGGTGTGGATATTAGGCTCTGTATGGGCGTCGCTGTGCCAGCAGCGACTGTGTGGCTGGGTGGTATATGCATGGCGCGATATCGTAAAGTATGGACTCGGGAATGCGCTTGCTGGCGTCCAAAGCAAGAGATGTGTCTGCGGGAGTAGGAACGGTAGTTGTGGATCTACACACGATGGTCGGGGCGGCGGAATCTCGTTGACTCGTGGGGAGAGGATTCGTCTTCGTTCCGTTGCGCTTCGTTTCGTATCGTGATCGACAAAGAGCTATATGTACAGTACAGCGTCCACTTTCTCTATCGAACGCAACGAGGGGATAAACTATATGCGACGAGGAATACAGGACGGTGACACCATGGTGTTTCTTTGCCCAGGAAGCTGTGCAAAAAGGCTGGGTTTCGGCGGTGCTACGAAACTCGCAGCTTTGGGTTGGGTTGGCGCGGGTTGGC